GACCCGCACCCCTGGGTGATTCGGGGAAGGGAGTGTGTTCAGCATGGGCGGACGCTGGGAAAGCACTCAGCCCCAAGTTGGTCCGCCCCTCATCCCAAGCTCCCCTGGCAGGGCTCTGACCTCGCAGAATGCACAGTGCGGGGCTGGTTCCTGCCCCCAGGAGCTCGGGAAGGGGACACCCAGGCAGGAAGGCGCTGGGAGGCAGAAGCCCTGGGTTCGCTCTTGGCCTAGGCGCCCACCTGCACAGTGACCCCCTCCTTCCAAACCGTACTCACACCAGGGGCTCCGCTCACTGTAGAAGACAGTGAAGGCGTCAGTAGGGTTGGCCAGGCCTGAGGAGGCAGGAAAAGGGGTTCAGAGGGTGAAATGGCCCAGCCCCACCTTGCAGCCTCCCTATTCCCCTCTGGCCACTCAGTGGCCTGCCAGCCTGCTCACCCTCATCCAAGGCGAAGCCAGCCCTCAGGGCCTTGAACTCAGGCCGCTGTACGAACAGCTCCATGCCTTGGTGACCCCCAATCTCCTCATCTGTAAAAGCAGCAGGGTTGTGAGAGGAGGGAGCCATTCCCCCAACACATCCTCCCCCTCCCTGAGGGTGCCCCTCCCTAAGCCACTCCCACCTGGCACAAAGGTCAAGTGGATGGTTCTGGGGAAATGGCGGCCCTCAGCCTTCAGCCTCCTCACAGCCTCCAGGTACCTGAGGGGCAGTAAGAGGGTGTAAGCCAGGTGCTGCAGGAGCCGCAGGATGCTCGGGCCAGCAGGCTGGAGCCGTCGGCCCGGGCGCCGCTCTGCCGAAGTCTGGCAGGGGACTCAGGGAAGTCCCTGTCCCTGTTTTCCAATTACTGCCCAATGTCGGGGGTTGAGTGTTCCTTAGCCTCGAGGTTCTCCAATCACACCCCTGGTTCTGGGTCATCCCCGTGGGCCAGTGGGACACCGCAGGGGGCGGGGGAAGGACACTCACTGGATGCTGACACACTTCATGTCCTGGGCGCCCCGGGCGTAGATGTAGCCATCAGCACCCTTGAAGGCCTCAAAGGGGTCGTGAGTCCAGCATTCCTGCGGGCCGGGGTGCAAAGAGGGGCCCAAGCCCCGGATTCAGTCATTAACCCTCTGTGCTCAACTGTGACCCTGCCCTTGGCGCCCGCTGTCGGGCTACAGGTGGGGCAGTGAAGGGGACAGACTGGCACCCTCATCGCCGTGGCCCACGCCCGGCACGAAGCCGCTGTTAGACAGCGGCCGCTCGAGTGCAGTGCCGCTGAACGGGCTCGCGAGTCAGTGCCAGGACCGCCGGGGGTCCCCGAGGCCGAATGAAGATCTGGCTCGTCTTTGTCCCCTGCACCACGTCCCATCCTTCCCACCCCCCACACACACACCTTGAAGACAGGTACCACATCCGTGTGGGAGTTGAGCAAGAGGGAGGAAAGTCTGGGGTCGGTGCCTGGCCAGGTCAGCACGGTCACCACACGGCCAGGTGCTACCTGGAGAGGGCCAGGAGGGGGGGGTCACCGCAGGGCCACTGGTGCGCCTGCCCCCGCCACGCAGGGCCCCCAGCTCACCTCCACCTTCTGACAGCCCAGGCCCAGCTGGCGGCCTCTCTCCTCAAGGAAGGCCACGGCAGCCCCTGCAGACACAGGGAGTCCTGGGGCTGCTTCTGCCTTCCCAGGATGCTCCCCAGCCTAAGCAGAGCTCGGGGGCACATCGGAGAGGGCGGCAGACCCCCAGATGGGCTGCCACCCCCTCCGTGCAGTTCCGCATTCCTCGCGGACAGCTGTGTTTCTGTCCGCAAGGAAGCAGATGATTTTGGCCCATCGGTGACCCTCTGTGGAAGGCCAAGTGGGAAGTCCAGGATTGGACGCTGGTGTCACTGTAACCCTTAAAGACTGGAAACTGTCATGCAGAGTCAGGAGGGCCACCACACACCTCCCAGGTGGGAAATCACAGTGAGAGTCTGGACCTATGCACTCGATTCCCAGCCACCAAGCTTGCCTCCCTACTTTTGTCCCGCCCCGTCCAACTTCTGGAGGCCTGTCCTCCAAGTGGTGCCCCAGTCTCCCCTCTCCCACCCCAAGCCCAGGGGAGGGAGGGAAGCTGTTCCTTAACTAGCCACCAGGAGCAGCCTTGGCAGGGAGGGCCCCTGGACGGGCTTGGGGGCTGCCTGTGACCGGGGAAGGGCTCCAGGAGTTGAGGCGCCACTTAGGGCAGCAGAGTGGGGCTCAGCCGGGGGGTGGGAGTCGAAGCCTCGTTTACAGTACAGCCCCACCCCTGCTGTCCCCCCCATAGGCCCCGGAACCCCCGCATTCTCACCGTAGTCCGGCTCGGGCTGGACGGTACGGATGCGCAGGTATCGACGGAAGAGCGTCACGGATGGGTGCTCGTCCTCGCTACCCTCGCTGGCCATGGCGCTGCGCGTGGGGAACTGCGGGCAAAGCGAGCAGCTGCGGACGCCACCTGCACGCCGCCCGTACCCAAGGCGGTTCCCGGCACGCCCCGCTGGGAGAGTACACCCTGTTTTGGAGCTCCGGTTGTTTCCGGCGCTATGCGGGCCACTTGAAACGCACTTTCTTATTTCATCCCCCAAAGCGCCCCGTAAGTTTGCGCCACTGAATGCTCACTTGACAGAGGAGAGAGCTGAGGCTCAGAGAGGCTCAGGGACAGTTAGGGAGTAGCAGAGGCAGGTCTGAACCCAGACATCGACTCCCTCTGTCCTCCTCCAAAAATTTCTCCCGGGTGGCTCGGATTTTATGCCAGGGAGCTCCAGACCGCCCTACTCCTCTCCAAAGCCCCCACCTCGCTCTCTGCTGGTCTTTCAGCACCCGCTTGGGACTGTGGCCCGGACTCAGGGTCCTGCGAGGTTGCGGACTCAGACCGCTCCCCGCCCACCACGTGGCTGGGCCGGAATCGCGGGGTGGAACCGAAGACTGCAAGTACGGGGGTCTCCTCCCGCCCCTGGTCCCAGCCTCCGCCCAGTAACCCCAGGCTCGGAAGTCAGACCTCGTCCAGCCGCTGCCTCCACCGTTAGCTCCTCGCTGCGGCGGCCTACAAGTTGCCGGCTGGCCCAGCCTCCACGGATCTAGTCCCCCGGGGAGGACCCGCCCTCGCAGGGGCCCGCCCCGGACCTAGGTCCAGAGCTCCGGCTGGCCCGTCCCCAGAGAGCTTAACCTCGTGCAGCCTCCGGATTGTGCAGGAAGGCGGCGGGGGGCGGCGGGGGCGGGTACCGACGCCTCAAGTCGGGCGCCCCCTAGCGCTCGGGATGGAGGGCTGCAGGGTTCTTCCGGCGCAGGCCCTGCCCGCCCCCTCCCCTCGCAGATGGCTTGGTTCCCTGTGCGGGGAGGGGGCTGGTTAATCTGCCCTCCAGCCTGTGAGCTCCAAAAGCCTGGTCTGTGTGTGTGCGGGAGTCTGCCCTGCAAGGGCACCGAACAGACGCCGGACAACATGCCAGGAATGAAAGCTACAGGGACGGGCAGGCGCACGTTCACTGCGGGGTGACCGCGGGAACCCGCTGCAGTGGGGGCCGAACTGTACATCAGCGGGTATGACCACGTGTCTGGCAATACGCGTGTGAGAGGGTGGTTGGATATGACAGCGTTTGTGTGACAAAGGATGTCACGGTGAGAAGATGTAATTGTGATGCTGTATGATAGCCTGACAGGCGAGGAAGCTCACTGTGCAGGGGGCACACGTGACGGACCCAGTGCCAGGCTTCCTGAGTCTTCTGCAGCCTCCAAAGAGGGAGGCTAAAGACACAGGCGTCTCACTGGCTACCCACAGGCTGCGTGCAGTTGTAACTGCTCGCTCAGGTACCCGGCTGCCCTTTGTACCCTCAGCCAGTTCTGCCCCCTGCTCCAGGGGCTAAGTCAGCCTGGGAGGGGCAGGATTAATGCCTTTGACCCCTGGACCCAGAGGTGGGATTTAGGTGTGGGCTGCTGACCCACACATACTGGGGAGGCGATCAGGCTTGCTGGTTCCCCAGCAATGCCCTCTTGTTAACCCGTGCTCTCTGCCCCCATCTCTCCACCTCCTGCTCCCTTTGGCCACAGGCCCTGCATTCCTGGCACACGCAGCTCAGCCACAGGCCCTGGACGGCCCACCAATCCCAGTGGTCATGACGCAGCGGTAATACCAACCCGCTCCCCCCAGCACCGTGTGGCCAACAGCTCCACACACCCAGACTCGTCCAACCCTGAAGCCACCTCCTGAGCGAGGTGTTACTATTGACAGGGGAAATCAAGAGTTAAAGGCTTTAACCTTAGCTATAGTTGATAGGCTTGGGAAGCTGTTATTAGGGAAACGGGGAGGACTCGGAGCAATTCAGGAAGGACACGTTGCTCAGCAGATAAGGAAGGAGGGGGAAAATTGCTGCAGGACTGCAACTCTTACCCCACTAACCTTTTTTGCCAAACCCTTTGCTTCTCCTTATAAAAGAGCTTAGTTTGGACCCTGGCTGGTGTGGCTCAGTGGACTGAGCGCCAGCCTGTGAACCAAAGGGTCACTGGTTCAATTCCCAGTCAGGGCACATGCCTGGGTTGTGGGCCAGGTCCCTAGTAGAGGGCGCGTGAGAGGCAACCACATATTAATGTTTCTCCCTTTCTCTTTCTCCTTCTCTTCCATTCTAAAAAAAAAAAAATCTAAAAAAAAAAGGTTGGCTTAAGATGAAATGTTAAGATGGTTTTTGAGGGTACATAACTCACTGTCTTCTCAGATCACGGCATCTGAAAAAAGCGCCCATAAAGATTCAATCCTTGTCTCTACTTACTGGTTCCGGTAGTGACAGCCACCGTGGACACCAACTTTTCCCGGTTCACTGTCATGCCCATCTTACAGATGAGAACACCGAGTCACAGAGCGGAGAGGGCCGCTGGGAAGTAGCCCATGCTCTCAGCCTTCCCAGGCTGCTGGAGCCTTCCCTCCAGCTCCCCGCCCTGAAGCAGTCCCAGGGTTTCAGTGAAGCAGCCCACTGCCCCCCACCCCCCCCCGCAGCAACACCAGGAAACAGGGTCTGCCACTCCCTGGGCATGACGAACATGCTTTTATTTATTGTGCCTGTGAGATGAAACGAGAGGTCCTGCCTGGGCCTGGCACTCCAGCCTCTGGCCTCTGGTCCCAGGGGCTGTCTCCCTGGTAGGGAACTGGGCCAGATCCTCCAACCTAAGTGGGTGAGCTCAAGGCAGGTGGTCAAGGAAGGCAAGGAGGACAAGGTGGAAGTCTTTCGGCTTGTGGAGGTAGCAGGCATGGCCTGCGTTGTGCAGCTTCACCACAGAGTGGTTGGGCAGGTGGCGGAGCTGCCGCAGAGACTCCCGAGCCAGGATGCGGTCCAGTTCCCCGTACAGGATGAGAGTTGGGGTCTGCAGGGGAAGGCAAGGGGCTGTGATCCTACAGCCTGGGGGGGACTGGCCCTCGAGCCATCTCCTGAGGAAACCTTCCCCAAACACCCATCTTTTCCATCCCGACCAGGGATGGGGCCAGGTGTCCTCCAAATGATACCTGAGTCCTTTCCCCCCCATGTCAGGGAGCCGGGACCTTTGGAGACCCTCCTCCTGGTACCTTCACAGCCCAGAATTGTTCCTGGGTGTAGTTCTGGGTGGAGGCAGGAGCGATGGGCACGAATCCGTGCAGCTGGCGGTGGTCTCGCATCAGGAAGGGCAAGGCATAGTGGCCGCTCAGCGAGGGGCTCACCAGCACGGCGTTCTGCACCTCCAGGTCCCGCAGCGCGCGCCCCAGCAGCTCTGCCCGCCCCGCCTCAGTGCTTGCCTCCTTTGTAGGTGCTGAGTTCCCAAAACCTGGGAGCAGCAGGGGGCACCGGCTGAGGGAGGCTGTGAAGGAACTGGGGCCTCTGTCCACCGCGGTGGGGGAAGAGGCAGGGGCAAGCGGCAGAACGTGGCGCGCTCTACCCCGATGTCCCAGAAGCTATCTTCTGTGATGTCATAGGCCTGCTAGAAAAACCCCTTTCCTTCATCATATTGGCAAAACTAAAGAAGACTGCTGACATGCAGTGCTGGGGAAGACGTGGGGAAATGGGCACCCCAAACACAGCTGACGGGAGGGTTAAATCCGGGTAGCGCTTTTGGAGGGTAAGGCAATCATTTTCAAAATTTATGTGTGTCCTTTAACCCCTCAATTGTCCTTGGCAGCTGCCCTACAGAAATGATTGCCCACAGGCTCAGCGAAGCATGTCCCAGGATGTTCTGGTCTCAATACTCAAGCATTTCAAGTGACACTGTGAACTCTGCGTCAACCTACATATCGGCCAGCAGAGCGATGGCCAGGCAGAGCCTGTCTGTCCCTCCCAGAGCACCCACTGCAGAAGGAAGGGCCACAGTGCCTGCCATGCCCCATAGACACGGCACAGGGGAGAAAACCAAGCTGCAGATAGATTCACGAAGCAGGCAGGACGCCGATCATATTTACAAACCCCGTCGCACCCTCCTGCGTGTTCCCAAGTCTTTACGGAAATGTCCAAAGCGGCTCTGGCTCCCCCAAACGGCTGAAGCGAGAGGGAGGGAAATGCGGCACGGGTCCCTGTCACTCGTTTGATGTTTTAATGACAAGAACGATAACATAAATAATTGGATGGCTAAAAAATAAAAAATCTCCCTAATTGGTCCTGCAAACTATGCTGAGATCTCCCGTGCCATCCAGTGAGGTCAGGCGCGCTTTCTTCTGCTCCGTGACGTGCCACAATCCACAAGAATTTTCAAGGTAGAAAATAAAGACACAGGCCTTTTCGTGTAGCCATCGTGTACTGCAACCTGCTGCTGCTCGTCCAGGCTCTGGGGTCCAGATGCCCCCCAGCCATGTCCTGGGGCTTTCCTACTCCGCTACATCCCCTTCTGGGAAGCTGCCCCCTCGGACCTGCCTCCCCAGACCCCGGGGCGTGGTGGGCGCTCTCACCTGGGAGGTCAAGGGCCACAGCCCGGTAGCCCCTCTGCGCCAGCAGCTGCAGTGTGCCCAGCTGCTCCCACGTGTGGGAGTTAAAGGCTTTCCCATGGAGCAGCACCACCTCTACCCTGTGGGCACATGGGGAAGGGCAGGGCCTGAGGGTCCGGCAGAGGCCCACTTTCTTCCCAGGCTTCTCCCGCCCGCCCAGGCCCTGGGTGCCCCGAGCTGCACTGGGGCCACACACCGGAGCTCCCTTGGGCCCGGCCCTTCCACTGCACCCCGGGGTCTGCACCCACCTGCGCGCCCGGTGGAGTGGAAGCACCTCGCGGTAAAAGATGGGGGAGCTGCCAGGAGTGAGACCAGCCAGGATTGTGACATTGGGGTCTCCCCAGAGCCAGGAGGTCTGCTCAGGGGGGCCTGGCAGCCCCACGTACAGTAGCAGCATGAGCAGCAGGCCCAGGCCCAGCAGGGCTACCTGGGACCGGCTCATGGAGGCCTGAACCACAGTCTGTAGGGGAGAGGAGAGGGAGAAGAGGCTGGGGCTGAGGTCCCACAAGGCCCCCTGCACCCCAGCCCCGCGCCCCACCCAGAAGGCCCCAGCAGAGCAAAAGCTCAGCCTTTACCCTTTGCCCTGGTCTGGGCAAGGCTCTGAGAGTTCCCACCCAACTACTCCACATGCCAGGGCAAGGGTTTGGGTCCCCCGCAGCGTGAGGAGGGGCGTCCGAGCTGCCCCCCCGCGCACAGCATGCCCGGTGACCACGACTATTACTGTGCGGCTCAGACCGCTTCCGCCCACCGAGCGCTCGACAGCCAGGCCCTGAGCCTGGCCCTTCACATTCAAGGCGCTGTGAGCTCACACAGGAACACAAGGGAGCATATGTGATTACAGGTCTCTTACAGGTGAAGAAACTGAGGCTCTGGGAGGGAGAGTCTCTTGCTCAAAGCACAGAGTGTGCCAAGCGGGCAATGGGGAGTTGAGCCCAGGGCAGGCAGGAGAACGGCACACAGAGAGTCACCCGCTCCCCACCCCCCGGCCAGCTTCACACCAGTCACCTGCTCCATGAACTCCAGTCCAGGTCCTCTGCCAGCCCAGTGGACAGACCTCAGGACCAGGACCCAGGCAGAGCGGCGAGCCCTGGCTTTGAGACTCAGCTCAGCTCTGCCTCTTCCTGGCCATGAGTCTTCAGTTTGTCGGTAAAACTGGGAGGACAGCCCCATGGCTGTCGCCCCCCCATCCCCCACCTCCATTCCCCAAAGCCTCCGGTGAGATTTCCACCACACAGCTGACTTGACCTGGGGCTGGCCTGTCGCCATTTCTTAGGCCCAGGAGGAGCACCCCTGCTTGTTCCCAGATTCAGTAAACACGTCTTTACTGAGTGCCACCTGGGCATCGGCCCCAGCTAGTAATGGGACCAGACCCCAGCCCCACCCACCTCTCTTGGGATGTTTCCCCAGGCTCCCGGTCAGGTGGTGACCCAGGAGCTGTGTCGGGGGAAGACACTTTTCCCTTCTGTCTGACCGGAACAGCCTCGGATGAGGCCTCCGACGCGGTGGGCTTAAACTCCCACCAGAGTGGGCTTCGGCGGGGGCCCCTCCTGGTGGTGAGGACTAGGCCAGAGGGAGCCTCTCCCACTAGGGAGGGGCTGGGAATTCAGCCGTTGTCTTGGCAACCCAGGAGGCTGGCACAGAAGACAACCTTACCCTGCCAGTAGCAGGCAACCTAATAATCTAGCCAGATACAGGGGCTGGGGCTGAGGGTGGGGAGACACCCGCTTAGGTCCTTGCATACACGTTGACAATGACACACAAGTACACACAAACATCGAGTTTTCTCCTCGCCCGCTTTCCTTTTGCACAAGCGATTCCCTGCACTTAGACGCACCCTCTTTGGCGCTGGCCTATGTGGAAATCGATCCCTTGAAATATACACCCTCAAAAGCATGTGCACCGTCAGGCATCAGGAAGGCAGACGGACGCACACGGTTTCAAAATCACGTGCAGACACTCAAGTTTCAAGCACACCCGCCATACACAACCCTTAAACTACCCACGCACACAAGAAACACACATGCACAGGCAGACAGACGGACACACACCCAGACCCTCAGAAATACACACAGGCACACAGCTAGTATACGCCCTCAAAATCACACATGCACACAGAAACATACACAGTAGCTATACGCGGACAAGAAGCGGGCGGACTGACCGACACCCTCCAACACAGGCATACGAAAATACTGGCACCCAGACCCCCAAGAACACACGCAAACTCGCGCATGCTCGCACAGCACGCGGACACACGGACATTCGCTGCCCCAGCGCCTGCCCCTCCCGTAGGACTCTGCCCTGGGCGCCAGGGCAAGGGGCGGAGCAAGGATGGCCTGTCCTCGGGCACCCTGCTGGTCTCCTCCCCAGGGACACTCACCCGGCCGACTGAGATAACCCGGCCCGCCACCGCCGGGCGGGCCCCGCCCACGCGGAACCAGCAGCCAAACAGCCCGGCGACCATGGCGCTGCCTCTCTGCGGGCTCCGGTCGGCACTAGGCGGCGGAGAGCGCGGCCACCGAGGCGCGCTTGCGCAGTCCGCAGTCGCGGCCCGTGCGCCTAGCAGCCCGGGTGGAGTGGGAACTGGGGGCGGCGCCCCATAGCCCGCAGGCCCGGCCTCCCGACCCCGGTCCAGATTTTCCGGATTGTTTTAGGCCTGAGAGCCGGGGGAAGGCCGTCCAGCTTGTTCCCACCACAGCGTCTCCACCCTCCCTCAGTCTCTGGTCTGTAAAGCAGGGTCACGGATAAGGGTTGTCTTAGGACTTAAGGACCTGCCAACCCTGGGCCTGGCAGGGAGGCTTCGCCGTGTAAACTCCAGATATTATTGTTATGCAGTAGCACCAGGGCTCGGCGGCCCAAAGGCTTCCCTGACCTTACCAATGCACACACGCACGCACTCGGTCAGAGCCCAGGGTGTCCTCTAGGCTCCTTTGGAATCTCTTTATTATACCTATCCCGTTTGGCGACGTGTGGCCGAAGTCTGCTCTGTCCCCAGGCTCCGACACCGCCTGGTGGCCTGGCTTGGCAGAGAGGCTGTGCAGAGCGTGCGGGAGGATCTGCACGTCTCTCCTTTATTGGCACCCTGCTTGGTAGGCGACCTCACACCCATTCTGCAGGCAAGAGGCTCGGGGGAGCTGGTAAACGATCAAGGCTACCTGGCTGGGCAGTGGCAGAACCTCGCCCTCAAACCCGTGGCTGGCGCACAACTTTGGGACTCGGCAGTCCAGGCTGGGGATGGGGGAGGAGAGGAGGGCGCAGCAGGGACGCGGCTGCAAAGGAACCCTCCTCCTCAAGCCGCGCCTTGTGCATGTGAGGCAGGTCGCCGAGGGCTTCGGGAAAGCACCTAGTCCGATGCTTAGGGTACGCGGGGCTTACGGGCTTGCGGAAACTGAGGCGGCTGGGAGAAGAAAGATGGGCGTTGCAGCGGACTGTGGCCAAAAGGGGGCGTCCCGGAGCACGGCCCGGCCATATCCCTGTCTCTCCGCCCCAGCTCCTCCCAGTTTCCCCGCCCCGTGCCCCATTCGCCTCCAGGACTCTCCTGCCTCCAGTCTACGCCAGCTCACGCAGCTCCCCAGGTACCTGCCCTGCGCCCCCGCCCCTCTCTCCCTCTCCCCCTCTCTCCAGTTAGAACCCCCACCAACCCCTAGTTTCTCCCCTTTCCATTCGGCTCCCCAGGTCCCCTTCCTCGGGTCTGCCCCCACCCCTTAGGCGTGAGCTCTACCAGGCCCTGCGAGCCAGCACCGAGGTCCTCGGAAGGGACAGAGAGCCTCGGCGGCGCCCGTGGCCGCGCCCTCGGATCGCGGCGTCAGCTCGCTGAGCACCCCTCTTCCCTTGCGGGCGGGAACTCCAAAGCCTTTCCTGGTTGAGCGCTCCGGTTTCCGCTTCCAGAAAAATGAGTGTTTTACTCCAACCCCGACCTCCTCCTGCCTGTGGTGCTAAACTAGGACTCGTAGCAGTGCCATTAAGAGCAAAATCATCAGCTACTTACTTACTGTTGATTGAGCAGCTTCCTTGCTTACTGCTAAGTGCCAGGCTGGCCCGGAGTGTTTTACCTGCGCAGCTTCATTTAATCCTATGAGCCAAGTCCTGTTGTATTATCCCCGTTGGTAGGAAAGGATACCAATGAGGACAGTAATCGTGATGGGAGCCCCCTCTATTGAGTTCTTTGCAAGGGCAGACACCTTCATTTGCTAATTCTTTTTCTGTTTAACTTAATTCTTGATGTAGGCTTTAATGTCCCTTATTTCAGATGAGGAAACTAAGGCCCAAGGCCACGCAATTGAGCGGCAGGGGCAGAAATAGCACCTGCATCTTCCTCGCCCCAAAGCGTGTTCCTAGAGTGCTCAGAGCCTGCAGGAGGCGCCCTTGCCGCCCCGCGGCCCGGCCCTCCCGGTGGCAACTTGCTGCTCCCCTGGGCAGGCTGTTGTGATACTCATCTGCCGGGCCTTGCTCTGCAGGCGCAGCACCAGCACGTTGGCAGCATGGCGGGCGTGGAGCAGCACGAGGGAACCTTCCAGGTGCAGGGCCAGAGCCTCTTCTTCCGGGAGGCTCGGCCGGGCAGTGGGCAGGCTACCCGCTTCTCCGTGCTGCTGTTGCATGGCATCCGCTTCTCCTCTGAGACCTGGCAGAATCTGGGCACGCTGCTCAGGCTGGCCCAGGCGGGCTACCGGGCTGTGGCCATTGACCTGCCAGGTACTTCTGGGTCAGGCTTTTGAACAAGGGTGGTGGGGACCTCCTGGGGGACGCAGGGCTGAGGGGTGGGAAGCCTTTAAGGCCTTAGCCAGGCTAGGGCACAGTGCGCGTACTGCAAAGACCCTTGAGCTTCTCTGGCCTTGACTCGTTTCTCATCTGGACACTGGCCAGCTCTGGCCGTTGCCTAGGGCAGTGTCCCTGAGCCTGTGCTTTCTCGCCTGCAATGGGAGATGACCACACACCTGTTAGGGGCTGGCTCTAGAGGACGGACAGATGTTACCCTGTGATTACGTGGTTGGTACCTGACATAATGGGTGCCCAGCCGATTGGAAGTAAAATATTTTGACACAGCCATAGCCATAGGCTCTGCTGGGAACCCTGAAGAGTGAGACTGAATGTCCTGGCACCTTTGGGGATGAGGCAGGGCCTGGTGGGTGGCTAAGCCACTAGTCAGGATCCCAGGTTGAAAGCGCTAAGCTGGGTTAGGGGAGGCAGGGGCAGCGCCAGGCTGCCATAGTGTGGAAGGGACTGCGGGGCTGACTTGCTCCCCCTTCTGGCCATGGCTGGTATAGTTTCAGTGCCCGAAGGCGGATCTCCAGACTCCGCGGGGATAGGTTCTGAGAGGCCAAGCTTCGAGGCTGAAGTCTCGAGTTAATCTTCCTGGGGGAAGGTAGGGCTAACTAACTGGAAGGGGGGCAGTACCCGTTCAGAGCCAGCCCCTCAGCCACTGTCCTCAAGGCACTCACTCTGCCACCCCCGGACAGGTGCCCCTAAGCAGTTTACTTTCACAACTATCTTACATGGCAGATACTTTCCTCTCCCTTTAACAGATGGGGAAATGGAGCAGTGGAGAGGGCTGAGGAGACTTTCCTAAGACAACATAGGCAGTAAATGGAAAATTGGGACTTGGACCCAGCTGTGTTGGACCTCACAGCCTGGTTCTTCTCGGCAGACTCTACCGCTGGGGGAGACGGGCACAGAGCCGAGGGGAATGGCTCATGCTTGCCACAGACATGACCGTCGAGGCTTCTGTGGGAGTAAACTCGGGCGTCCTGCATGTGGCAGGAGCCTGGCACAGGGAGATGGACCCAGGAGGGCTTCCTGGAGGAAGGGACCCTCTCTCTCCTGTTTTCCCACTCACAGCCCTTGTCTTATCTCTAAATCGCTGCAGGTCTGGGGCGCTCCAAGGAAGCAGCAGCCCCTGCACCTGTCGGGGAGCTAGTCCCCAGCAGCTTCCTGGCAGCTGTGGTCGACGCCTTGGACCTGGGCGCCCCGGTTGTGATCAGCCCGTCGCTGAGTGGCATGTATGCCCTGCCCTTCCTCACGGCCCCTGGCTCCCAGCTCCGCGGCTATGTACCAGTAGCCCCTATCTGCACCGACAAGATCAGTGCTGCCGACTATGCCCGTGTGAAGGTATCCCCGTGTGGGAGGCTGGGGTGCCCCTGCCAGGAGCCTGAAGAGTCCCCCTCTGGGTCTCTTCCTTGTCTGGGGGTGGGGTCGCCACTGGCAGCTTCTGGGAGGAGCTGAATCACCACCCTCTGCCGCTTGGATTTACTGAGCAGATAACTGTGCCAGCCTTGTGCTAAACGGGGTGCTGGGCAGACACCAAGCTACACCTCTGTCCCTTGGGGGCTGACTCCCCCCACCCTGCTGGGTCTGGGTCAGCTTGTCTCTCCCTCTCATTTGGGGCGGCCGCAGGGGGAGGAGCTGGCACAGTGGGGAGGGTTGGAGCCGAGCTCTAGGAGGCCGTGGCTGGCATGGTGGGTCCCGTTCACTCTGCCCCTCTTTGCTTTCTCCAGACCTCAGCTCTTATTGTCTATGGAGACCAGGACCCCATGGGTCAGACAAGCTTTGAGCACCTGAAGCAGCTGCCCAACCACCGGGTGCTAGTCATGGAGGGGGCAGGGCACCCTTGCTACCTTGACAAACCCGAGGAGTGGCACACAGGGCTGCTGGATTTCCTACAGGGGCTGGTGTGAGACCCCGCCCTGCTGCGCCCGGGTGTGGGGGGCGCGCACTCTCTCTCCACACACCTGCAACAGGTGTGTGTGCCTGTCTGTCTGAGTGCTTGTCTTTCGGGGTCTGTCTTTTCCTCTTTCTCTTGCAGTGACACACCGAGGTGAAATCAAGAGATAAAATTCAGGAATCAAGGGACGTGAGCTGGTGGAGGGTAACCCATTTAGATGAGCTTCTGCCCTAGGCTTTCCTGCTCTTCTCTGCTGCTTCCTCTCCAGCCGCCCAGTCGACCCCTCCCACCTCCTCTTGTCTGGCCCACAGGCGCTCACAGCCCCTACTGGGCATCTTATGGCGCACATACATGCCCACATGCATGTTTTACACATGTTCCCAAGTGTGACCCAGCCACGAAGGCACAGACACCTGACGGACATGCACGCTCGGGCGCAGCTGTACATCGCATGCCCAGACACCCAGGCATGCCTGTGCCTCCACACGAGCCCCGGCACAAGCGCGTGCGCCCTCCCAACCACGCAGCGCCCGGCTGTCGGGGGAAGTGGGGACCCGGGGACCAGTCCGCGCCGGAGATGCTCTGCCGGGCTCAGGGCGCTCGCCCACAGGATGCAGCTGACTCCAGATCAGAGATGCCCCCCAAAGGAGAGCCTGCCCCTCGGACCCGCAGATCTCCCTGCTTTTCCCCCTCCTTCCGGGTGCGCCACCCCTTCCCAGGTTATTAGACCTGGGCCTTCTCAGCCATGCTTCTTTCCTGCTTCCAGGCTGGGGGAGGTGCGGAGGAGAGAGGAGGTCGGTGAAATAAAGTAATGCAATTAGACCCCTCAGGCTCTTGCTGTCTCCAGAGCGTCGCCCCTCCCCTGCCCCCTGGGACCGCTGCCGCGGGCCCCTCCCCCACCCTGGCGGGACCAGATGGTCCCCCTGCCCTTTGTCCACCAGGCCAGATGGAGGGGAAGGGAGATTGGATTCCCCTCCCCACCCCCACACACCCAGGTGCCAAAAGACTCGGCTGCGGGGGGAGGTGGAGGTCAGTGGGACCGGGCTGAGCCGATTACGGAGAGGGGGTAGACTTGCTCCGGGGGTGGGGGGCGGCGGCAGAGGGTGCCGTGGGGGAAGGAAGGGCTTGCGAACAACCAAGCCTCCGCCTACTCTTACCTATTCCCCACCGGAGTGTTCAGCGGCGCCGCCTCCCTTGCGACCCTACCCCAAAAGGAATTCTGGGGGTGGCTCTGAGGGAGCGACGGGCGGGGTGCCCGGCTCACATCGGCCTCAGGCCCCTCCTCCGGCTGGTCCGGAAACCCGTCCTGGGCGCACGAGGGCCGGGCCTCGCGGAAGCCGCGGGTGGCCGAGGGGTGCGGGTCTCGGTGGGCCAGAGCCCTCGCGGGGACGGATGGCGCGGAGCAGAGAGCGGGGAACCCGGGCCGGCGGAGGGCGGAAGCCCGACTTCCCAGGGTCCCGCGCCGGAGCGGGGCAGCGCGGGGCGGAGGCCGGGATAGGGGTGCAGGGGGCTCGGCAGAGGCGCCGGGCGGGCGGCCCGGCCGGAAGAAGGGACTCGGGAGCGGGCACAGCGCGCGCGGCGTCCCGCCCGACCCCCCCGCGCCCCCCGCTCCCTGGGGCCGGAGGGCCGCCCAGCCCTCTCGGAAGCGGCCGCCGCGCGGGGCGCTCCGCGGCGCGCGCGGGGCGGGGCGGGCGGCTGCGGCACTGGGGCGACTGGGGCGGGCCCGCCGCGCTGTAATCGGATCCGGGGAGGGGGCGGGGAGGGGCCGGGCCGGGAGGGCTGGGGGGTGGGGGTGGGGGGGCGCGGAGCCGGGCTCCGGGCCGGCCGGGCTCCGCGCCTGTCAAACCCCTCATTGTTCGCAGCTGATGTCACTCGCAGTTGTGAGCGGCCGCCTCTCCCGGGGACAATGTGGGACTGAGCGGCCCAGCCGCCGCGCCACCGCCGCCGCAGGACAGCCCCAGCGAGGTAGGGCGCGCCGGGCGGGGCACCGCGGGCCGCGAAGTTTGGGGGTTCGGCCGGGGGCGGGGAACCGGCGCCCAAGTCCACAGGCCCGGGTCCTGGGTCTGGGGGATTGGGAGGCTGCGAGGAGCATGTTTCCCGTCCCACACGGGCCCAGGCCTGCACAGGTGGGGGGCGCTGGCCTGCCAGAGGAGCCCCCAACACCGGGAAGGATCTTCCTGGACCTGAGACCCCAGATTCGAGGTCCTCATCCCACCTGCTGTTTCTGCCCTTCCGGCCTGCTCTTCTCGCGACCTCCTGCCCCGGCTTCTGGTTCTGCCCCATCGCTGTCCCCATCTGCCATTCCCCTGCAGTTTCTGGCTCAGTCCACACCCCTTCCCATTCTCTGCAGTCTTTGGTGGGGCCGCCCGCAGACCTCCCAGGGCTCTGTGGAGGTGACAGTTGGAGGCTCACAGAGGTCCCTGGTGCCCTGTGGCTCTTCAGCCCCTCCGCTTTGACCTGGCTTCTCAGCGGGAGTCCTGGGGGGGTGGGGGGCTTTGGCTACTCACTCCAGCCAGGCCCTGGGGCCTGCCTGGCCAGGGCAGGGAGGTGCCCGCCTCCTCGCTCCCCTATCCCTGGCCGGCCATCTTGAGACCTGTGGCGCCCGGCGCCCCCGCCCGGCCCCAGCGCCCTGCGGAGCGGTCTTCGAGGGATGCACGCAGGGCCAGTCGTGTCCCCCCTCCCAGGATGCGGGCCGTTGGTCCCCGCCAAGCCCAGGATGATCACCTTCATGCTGGACCAACAGGGCATGTGTCCTCAGGGGCCCTCCTTCCCCCACAAAGCGCTCCTCAAACGGCGGGACTCCCCAGAAGCTTAAACCTCAACTCACTGTGTCTTGGGGTTATTCTCGTTGCCTCAGGGCCAGCACCTGGGACCCTGCCCTTTTTCTATCTGAAGGCCCCTCATGGCCCGAGCGCCCTCTCAACCTCCGAGGCGCCCCCATCCCAGCCCCCACCCCCTAGCCTTCATCAGCATGCAGGCTCAGGCTGCCCAGACACAAGGGGATTGTTCTTCTGGCATGCTCAGGGTGGGGGGCTGGGAGCAGGCGGCCCACACACCCTGGCAGGCCCAGGCCACAGGGAGGCTGGCTCTGCCCCGCCCTGTGTCCCCAGACGGGCTCTGTCCACCCTTCCTGCTCCCATCACGGCCCCCGGCCAGCCTCCATCACCACTTCCCGGTGGCGCAGACCTCTTGGGGAAAGAGCTCTGAGCTACGCAGGTGGACCCCTGGGTCCTCTCAGCTCTGCCAGTTGCCTCTCACGCAGCGTCGCAAACAACCCCCTTCCTCCCTGGGCCTCCTGGTTCCTCTCTGGTGAGACCCTTCCAGCGGTGACAGACAGACCCCCGATCTTCACGGGGAAACCCACTTTGGGCCCCCAGAAGTCTCAAAGCACCGTGCAAAATCCCCACCCGGGTGACATGCCCGGGGAGTCCCAGACCCCGATAAAGCAGGGGCTGGGGTGCGGAGCTGTGGCCCCGGTGCCCTGGGCCTCCTCGCCCCACCCTCGCTGCTGCTCTGGGCCCCTCAGCCCCATCCCTGGTCCCTGAGGCTCCCGGCCTCCGAGCCCTGTCCTCCCCCTGCACACCGAGCCCGGCCCCGGCCCCTGCCCTCTGCGGGCTCTCTGTGTTGCGGAAAGATGGGCTCAGAAATGCCCATTTGGGGCTTCCTTGAGTTGCAGACATATCTTTGGGGGTCCCAGAGGCCTGAATGATTGTATCTGAAGGGCTTCACAGGGGAGGTGGCATTTGAGAAGGATTTTGACAGAGTGGGGAGGATGGGCATTTCAAGCAGGGATCAGCCTGGGCAAAGGCCCAGAGGCTGGAGGTGCTAGGCGTGTTTTGCAGCCTGGTGTGGGGGGATGGGGGGATGGGCGGAGAGGACACAAGAGTGGTTGGCAGGGGCCAGATGGTGGAGGCCCTTGAGTGCCCGTCTGTGGAGACCCACTTTACTCCTTGGGCACTGGGGAGCCAAGGATGGCTGTTGAGCAGCAGTGTGACCCAGTCTGCAGAACGGAGAATGGAAGCTAGAGACCTTTCTCGGTCTGGGTGAGACAGTGAGGGGACGGGTACCGGTGGGAGGGGCTGCGCCATGAAACTGCCCTTCCTCCCGGAGCCCAGGCCCAGCCTGGGCCTGCCCTGTTCTCCGGGGCTGTACAGCCTCTGGGTGGGGGCCGTGGGGCGGGAGGGTTGCTAAGGATGCTCTGAGGAGCCTGTCGCATTTCTGGCACCAGCCGGGTTGTCGGCGCTGCCCTGCCCTGCCGAGCACTGAGGGTACAAGACAGCCCTGGGTCAAGAGGCAGGGGCGGGAGCTGGCGGATCCCAGGCTGCCCCTCTGCCGGCCCCACCCTGCCGGCCCCACCCTGCCGGCTCTCCCCAGAAGTGGGTATGGTTGGCTTCCTGGGGTGCCGGAGGCCGGAAGGCCTGGGTGCTTGGGTCCGCGGGCGCTGGGGCGGTTCTTGTAGAGGCCTGGCTCATCAGGAATGGCGAGCAGGAGAAGGCCGAGGCCCGGGCGGTCAGAGCCTCAGAACCCTTCGGCGCCCCCGGGCCCAGCGTCCAGCCCCCGCCACACCCTGCGCCGCCCGATCCCGGCCTTGGCCAGCATCGCTGGGTGTGGCCTGCACGGCCGCTTTCGGAGCAGGTGTAGGTTGCTAGGTTAGGGGCTGGAGGTGCTTGAGAGGATGCTGGGGGATGTGATGTGGGAGATGGACTTGGAGCGTGGCCTGCCCGCTCTCCCCAGCCCAGGTGGGTGTACAAGCCCTCGATGGTCCAGACGCTCTGCTCCGGCCAGCAGAGCCCAGGGAATCCCTCGAGGGGCGGGCCAGTCCGCTTGAGTCCCAGGAGCCCTCCCCTCCCCCGGATTGTTCTTGCTCCAGAACAAAGCCTGGGTGGACACTTGATCCCCGCGTGTGGGGGGAGCTGGCTAAGCCCCCAGCCCTTTGATTGGGCAGCTGTCATGAGAGAGAGAGAGGGACAGCTGGGGGGGAGGGGCAGGAAGGGGCAGCCACCGTCACCATCGTCGCTTACACAGCTGTTCCCCCCCCCCGCCCCCTCCAGCCTGAGTGGCAGGGAGCCAGGGACAGAGGGAGTGGGCGCTGGGTCTGGGGAGGGGTCCGGGGAGTGGGCGGGACGCTGGAGGTCAGAAGCCTGGCCTGAGCTGGCTGTGTCCTGCCAGGACGCTGCCGACCAGAGGGGGCCGGGTGCCCCCAGAGGTGAGCTGGAGGTCACTGTGGCATGAGGCGTGGCCATCCCGTGGGTGGCCGGACAGGCACCCAGGGCCCACCGGTCTGGAGCAGCACAGAGCTCCCTAGGGCCCCGGCGATCGGGCCTGAGGGGCTGCTTGTTCTTGGCGCCCTGGGAGAGTTGTTTGGACGGCCTGTTTCAGGAGCCCTGCTCTCTCCTAAAGACAGGAAAGACCCTGGGGGTCCTTCGGGGCAGGAGGGAGACCAGCCACTCCCCCGCCCCCACCCCGCGTGCCTGCACACACGCAGCACAGGTGGGTGAGCCGAGGTCCACGTCAGGTGCCGGCTGGCCAAGGTCGCCCGCTGAACTCGGGGCAGTGGGCTCTCCCACAGCCTGGCCTTTTTCAGGGTAGGAGCCCCAGTTCTGGCCACTTTCCAGCCATGCGGACCCATTTTTCCTGGGACATAGGCCCCCAGGAGGTGCCGTGGAAATGGCGTGAGGGCGGCGTCAGGTGCCCTGCTGGTGACCACGCCAAAGGGTTCCTGTGGCCCAGAAATTCCGAAGCTTAGGACCATGGCCGCAAACCCGTCTTCGGCCCTTTCTAAACACTACCCTCGTCTGTGAGCCTGGCTGGGGTCTCGGAGACTCCTGCAGCCTGCTCCCCCTAGAAAGAGGACGCACAGCCTCAGGAGGGACCCTTGACGGCCCCGCGTGAGTGGGCAGACGCTTGCGAGCCCCACCAGGCCCCAGCCCTCTGTGACCTTGGGCAGGCTGCAGACCCTCTGTGGGCATCGGGCTCTCTTTCCTTCCGGTAAATTCACCTGCCCAGCTAACTAGTATGTTCTGAGCACCTCCTCCAGCCTGAGCTCTGGGGACGCGAGAAGGCGGCGGCCTTGGCTCCAGTCTCAGGGCTCCCGGCCTTGGCATCTAGGGAGGCAGAAGCCACGCACGTCATCACGGGCGCTTTGCGGGGGAAGTGCAGGCAGCTGGGGGAATGTCAGCGAGGGCGGCCAGCGCCGGGCCGGCCAGCGTGCCCACAGAGCACTGTCCCTGCGTCCACAGCTGACCTCTGACCTCGGGAGAGCCCGTAGGAGTGGAGGGGGGGAGCAGGTCTGGAGAAGCCACCGCTACTGAGTTCTTAGAGGTGGGGGCAGGGTTGTCACCCCAACATGCGGATGAAGAAGGCCTCGTGCCATGCAGCGGCTTGCTCAGGCTTCCTGAGGAAGAGCCAGGCGGGGACCCCCCGTCCAGCTCCACGCCCAAGCCCTGGCTGGCCGGGGGGTTCCAAAGACGGTATCGGGTAGAGCCCCATGCCCTTGACCCTCCCATCAGGACGGGCAGGGGCTGAGGAGGAGGACGCCCAGAGGGCGGCGGCGGGTGGTGGTCCACGATGCTCCGGGCCGGCCACGCCTCCCCTGCTCCGCCCCTCCCAGGCAGGGCGAGGGCTTGGGCTCAGCTGGGACATGGCCCCGGTTGGTCCCACTCCCCGTGTGCCTCCTCGACTCTGGCCCCCCAGCGAGCCCCCCAGCAAGGCTGAGCTCTGGCAGGAGACAGCCGCTGGAGGAGAGGGATTTCCAGGCAGGATTAAGGTTCAGGATTAAGTCAGGGCTTGGAAAGGGGTTGGGTGGGGAGGGCTGGCGACCAGGCTAATCCCAGCGGCTAATCTCCGGCTCCTCCTTTCTCCATCGGTTACCAGACCTGCCGTTCCCAGCCCCCCAAGTCCCTTTCTTATCCATCAGCACCCAGTCCCAGGGGGAAGCAGTGCCTCCATTTTACGGGCGAGGAAATTGAGACTCAGCCCAAGTGACTCGTTTCTGTTCTAGTGGAAAGTGCCCCAGGCTGGGAACGTGGCTGTCCCGGACACTCGGCACACAGGAGAGGGCTTGGAAAACCCCAGTGCAGGCCGCCAGTCCCTGACAGCGCTGCGCCACCCCCAGCCCCGCCCCCTGCGCCCGCCAGTGCTGGCTGAACTAGGGGCCCCAGAGCTGTCCAAGGGGCCTCTGCTCCAGGGAGCACCAACGGCCTGGAACAGCTTCCGGAGGCGGGGCTGCCAGCCGGCGCCCCGACGCCTCTGCCAGGCAGGGGGAAGGCAGGGGCACAAGGGCCTTGCTACCTTCCCTTCCGCTCTCCTTCCTAGACCTGTGGCTCCCACTGGCTGTGCCGGGCCAACCTGCCGGGTCCCGTGTTCCATGGGGCCCGCGAGGAGGCTCCCGTCCTCTAGACCCCCAGTGGCCTCCTCGTTCATTCCGTCTTCTGACGCTCGATGGGAGGGAAGGGTGCTCATGGAGACTGGGTGCCTGCCACTTAGGTCCACAGCTCATTCTACTTCTCATCCCTCTTTGGGAGTGGGACTTGGTTTCCCCTTCTTCCAGCCGGGGTCTCTGAGGCTCCGGCGGGTTCAGCCCCTGTCCGGGGCGGCACAGGTAGTGAGTTGTGTCCAAGCACCCCAGTTAGCGGGACATTTGAAACTCGGGGTCCATGTCACCTCCCTTCTCTGGGAGCTGGGCTGGCCCAGCTTGGGGGTCCCCATTGGAACCCAAAAGAGCTGGGCTCCTGCCTAAGCCCCCTTCCGCCGCCCCTGCCAGAGCCAGCCAGGCCGCAGCGTGGACGTGGACGCACTCCCAGGCCGCCGCGGCCGCAGCCCCGCCTGACAGGATGAGCAGCTCAGATGCGGGGCTGGAGGAGGAGCCGGAGCTCAGCGTCACCCTCACGCTGCGGATGCTGATGCAGGGGAAGGTGAGGGGGCTTCTCTGCTGGGACCTGGGAGGGGTAGAGGAGCGGGGGGAGGTTAGGCCTGGCCAGGCGGGGGGAGGCCGGGGGGGGGGGCGGGTAGGCAGGACGGGGAGGGCCTGGCACTGGCAACCCCCTGACTCCACTCTGGTCCTGTTTGCAGGAGGTGGGCAGCATCATCGGGAAGGTAGGTGCTGGGTTCTGTTCTGCGTGTCCCCTGAAACCTGAGACCTCCATTCCAACTTAGGCTAAGAGCCTGCCTCTATTTTTTCTCCTGCAGAAAGGAGAGACCGTAAAGCGGATCCGGGAGCAGGTGAGGATGGAGCGTGCGGAGGAGCGGGGATCCTGGGTTGGAGGGAAGGGAGATCCAGAGGGTGGCCCGAGAGGGTGGTGGCTTCCGGCCGCTGGGGAGAACGTGGAGAAGGGGCCCCGCTGCCCGGTGCTCGTCCTGCCCCCGCAGAGCAGCGCCCGGATCACCATCTCTGAGGGCTCCTGCCCCGAGCGCATCACCACCATCACCGGGTCCACGGCGGCGGTCTTCCACGCGGTCTCCATGATCGCCTTCAAGCTGGATGAGGTGTGTGACCAGCTGTGGGTAGGCCCAGGCTGGTTCCCTGGGAGGAACAGGACTCTGGCTGTGGCCGGGAGGGGAGGCCGGTTTCTTCGTCGGAGCGGGGCTCGGAGGGACTCCCCCACAGGGGCAGGGGAGCAGCCTGGGCGGGCAGGGCTGACCCACCGTCTTCCGGCCCAGGACCTCTGCTCTGCTCCCGCCAACGGCGGGACCGTCTCTAGGCCTCCAGTGACCCTGCGCCTGGTCATCCCTGCTAGCCAGTGTGGCTCGCTGATCGGGAAGGCCGGCACCAAGATCAAGGAGATCCGAGAGGTGAGGGGAAGGGGACCCAGCCTCCAGTTGTGAGGGACGACCTGGGCTTGCGGCCGCCTCTCCCTTGCGAAGCTCGGAGCCTGGGCAGCGCTTCTCTGGGCTCTGGGAGCAGCCAGATGGCCCTTCTTCTCTGCTTGCAGAGCACAGGTGCCCAGGTGCAGGTGGCAGGGGACCTGCTCCCCAACTCCACAGAGCGTGCTGTCACCGTGTCCGGGGTGCCTGATGCCATCATCCTGTGTGTGCGCCAGATCTGCGCTGTTATCCTGGAGGTTCTGTTCTGGGGCAGGGGAATGGGCAGGGAGTCCTATGCAAGTGACCCCTGGTGGGGGCAGGGCAGGGAGGCAGCGGTGGGTCAGGGCCCAGGAGGTCGGGCGCATTTACCTGGGGGCCTGGGGGGGGGGCCTGGAGGACACAGGGTCCTCGAGCGGTCAGGGCGCCTGAGAGGGTCCTGACAGAGCTGCTCCGTCTTTGCCTTTCAGTCCCCACCCAAAGGAGCCACTATCCCGTATCACCCAAGCCTCTCTTTAGGTACCGTCCTCCTCTCCGCCAACCAGGTGAGGGGAGCAGCAGAGGGGCGGAAGGGGAATCGAGACGGTGGAGGGGACGGAAGGAGGCACTGGGGGCCCCGGGAGAGGCGGGGAGGAGCGACTCTGGCCAAACTGCCCTGACCTTTTTCACCCACTTTGTCCCCACAGGGCTTCTCCGTCCAGGGTCAGTATGGGGCTGTGACCCCAGCCGAGGTGAGTGGCCACAGCCCAAGGCACCCCTTCCCGATCCAAGCCTCTTCTGATTCTGACCCCTCTTCTCTGGCCCAGGTCACTAAGCTCCAGCAGCTCTCGGGCCACGCAGTCCCCTTTGCCTCACCGAGCATGGTGCCAGGTGAGCAAGCCATTGCAGAAGGAGGCAGGGGCAGGTCCCCAGGGGCCAGGCCGCCCCCTGGAGAGGGCCGGGCGGGGGGCGGGAGGCGGGAAAGGCCCAGAACCACGCCCGACCCTTCTTCTCCCCAGGACTGGATCCTGGAGCGCAGACCAGCTCACAGGAATTCTTGGTTCCCAATGACGTGAGCAGGGGAGGGAGTGGTTTGAGGGTAGGTCGGGGGCCCTGGGGGTCTGGGCCTTGCCTAGGGTTGAATTCCTCCCCCTCCCCACAGCTGATTGGCTGCGTGATCGGACGCCAGGGCAGCAAGATCAGTGAGATAAGGCAGATGTCAGGGGCGCACATCAAGATCGGGAACCAAGCGGAGGGCGCCGGCGAGCGGCACGTGACCATCACTGGCTCGCCGGTCTCCATCGCCCTGGCTCAGTACCTCATCACTGCCTGGTGAGTGCGGGTTCGGGGGCAGGGCGCACGGGTCACAGGTCACGGGGCTTCTGTGCCTGAGAAAGGCACGGTGGGGTGGGGAGGCTGACCTCTGCCCGGCTCTGTGCCCCGCCTCACTCCCTCTGTGTCTCTCCGCCTTCTTCTCTGCACATGGCCCTGTGTCCCCCTCCCCCATGCCTGGCTCTGTGTCCCGGGCTTTCGGGACCCCCAGTTCTCTCCTCGCCCCGGACGGTGTCTGCCGTTCTCCCCCCCCTTCCGCCGTTCCCATCTGCTCCCCAGACCTGTCCGCCCCGTGTCCCTGTTCTCCTCAGTTCCGTTCTCCTGCCGTTCACCTAATCTCACCCCCGATTTTGCCCTCATTGTCCCTTCTCACCCCACCTTCCCCTTCATCTCCCCCCCATATCCCTCTCTCCAGTCTAGAAACGGCCAAGTCTACCTCTGGGGGGACACCCGGCTCGGCCCCCGCAGACCTGTCTGCCCCCTTCTCGCCGCCCCTGACGGCCCTGCCCACGGCTCCCCCAGGCCTGCTGGGCACGCCCTACGCCATCCCCCTGTCCAACTTCATCGGCCTCAAGCCCGTGCCCTTCTTGGCTCTACCACCTGCCTCCCCAGGGCCACCGCCGGGCCTGGCGGCCTACACTGCCAAGATGGCAGCGGCCAATGGGAGCAAGAAAGCCGAGCGGCAGAAATTCTCGCCCTACTGAGGCCGGCGGAGGCGCGGGCGCGGGAGCGGGCAGGACCGCCGGCAGGGGCTGCCTCCGCACCCGACCTGCCAAGGAGCCTCCAGCCTGGGGCCCCAGACACCACTAATGCCCAGAAGCATGGACACCCTGCCTGGCCCCGGTCTGTGGGAGTTCCTGTGCTCAGAGCGGGGGCAGTTTCTGGCCCAGGGTTCTGGGAGATGCGGCTGCCCCAGGAAGGGGGCTCCGCCCCCTCTAGCTCTGTGCTTGGATGCAGGGAGCATCCTCAGTCCCCCCAGTTTGGGGGTCACTCATGCACTCCCCATCCCTTAGGGCTTCCCAGCCTACTGCCCCCTTGTGGGGATCAGGGAGGAGGGCTGGGGGCCAAGCTTCTCTCCCCACCTCCCCGCAGATTCCTGCTGCTTCCACCGATACCTTTTTGACTGGAATGGACTGGCTGGGCTTGGCAGAGCGCAACCCAAAGCGGGGGCGCTGCCAGGCAGCTGGGGAGTCACCTGGGGCAGGGCTGAGTTCTCAGCAGCAGACACTCTGTACAGTTTTTTCAATCCCTGTTTTTGAATAAATATTCTGAGACCAGGAAGCTGTGAAACATTGTGGGTATTGGCAAAACGTCCACGAGATGGGCGCCGCTGGCCCCAGAGTACCGCCATCTATGAACCCACCAGCCCGCATTCTGGGGCTTCAGGACCCTCTGGGGCACGTGCTCAGGCTGCTCCTCTAGCACCAAGCTGCTCCGGTTGTTTTCTGGGCTCTTGAGAAGCTGACGGAGGAGACCCAGCAGCCTCGCCCAGTCTCTCTCCATGCAGGGAAGTCCTTCTGCGGGTCTCGCCACCGATTCCTCCGGCTGCGGCCGTGACCCAGGCCCTGCCCTGCTTGGCCCATCCCTGTGGCCGTGAACCCTTTAGGACCCTCTGTGGGGTCCTGCCCACCTCCGCTCCTTCCTTGGCCTGGGGACCACCCGCGAGTGTCCAGGCCACTGAGCTGGAGATGTGCTTCGTGATGGTCCAGGGTACAGATGGGGAGAATGAGGCCTAGGGAAGCGTGCGTCTGCACCCAAGGCCATGCGGAGTCAGACCCAGAACCCAGGATTCCAAGCCCCCGGAAGCCTCTCGGCTTTCCCAGGTTGCAGGCTCCCTTCCTGCCATTGGTGAGCCAGAGAAGCCTAGGCAGGACACCTGCCACCACCTGCGCAGGAGCCTGGATGGTCCTCTTTTAACACCACCCTCCTTTCTCCAGTCAGTCCCAGTTCAGTGGGGGAGACATCTCCTCTCAGGTGGCCTTTGGCATGCTGAGGATCTCGCCTCCTGCCAAACCCGGGTCTTGTGATGGTGCCTCCGAAGGACCGAGGGCAGGGCCCTCTGGAGGTCCCTGGAGGTGCTGCAGGAGAGCCCGCGGGGGCCAGGAGCGCAGAGCGCAGGCCCGCGGGGGCCGAGGCAGCGTTCGGCGAGCAAGGCGGCCCAGCGCCCGGCGCACGGGGCGCTGCAGCAGGCCGTACAGGAAGGGGTGAGCCGCGAAGGCCGAGTAGGCTACCCAGGTGACGGCCGCCTCGGCCTTCGCGGCTTGCGCAGCGGGCGCCAGGCAGGCGCAGCAGTAGGGCAGCCAACAGGCTGCGAACTGGCCCACGGCCAGCGCGGGGGCCAGGGCTGCTTTGCCCCCAGGCAGACGAGGCCGGAGGGCGGGTAGGATGGAGAGGCGGCTATCCAGGGAGTCAGAGCGCAGCCGGGCCCCGCGCGCGGGCAGCGGGGGCCGCAGGGCAGCGCGGCGCGCCACCAGGAAGATGCTGCCGTAAGCGGCGAGCAGCAGGAGGGCGGGCAGCGCGAAGGCCAGCAGCGCCCAGAGCGGCCGGAAGGGCCCCAGGCCGCCGGCCAGCACGGAGCAGCGGGCCGGGGCCGGGGGCGGTGCGGGCGGCGGCCCAAGCAGGGAGAGAGCGCCCAGCAGCGCCGCCGCGGCCCAGACGGCCGTGAGCACCAGGGAGGGCGGCGGCCGCGCGCCGGGCCGCAGCGGGTGCACTATGAGGCGGCAGCGCGCGAGCGCCAGCGCGGCCACACCGAGCGTGCAGGCGGGCAGCAGCGCGGCGGAGAGGAAGCGCGACGCGCCGCAGAGCACGGGGCCCAGGCGCACGTGGCCCAGCCCGGGCGGCGGCGCGGCCAGCAGGCCCAGCGGCATGATGGAGGCGGCCGCCAGCAGGTCCACAATGCACAAGTGCATCAGGTAGAGCGCGTCGCGCAGCCCTGGCGTGCGCAGCACCACGACCAGCAACGCGCCGTTGCCCAGCAGGACCACTGCTTCCAGGACAGCCGCCAGGATCAACCCCATGGAGCCTGCGACTTCAGTGGCATTGAACCCTGCGGTGTTGGGCATGGAGCGCCCAGACTTCACCCTGTGCTGGGATGCAGAGTGTGAGATGGAACGCCCTGCCCCCGAGTCCCACCACCTGCCCGTTGCTCCTCTGGGTTCTCACCTCACAGGCTGCCCCGGCTCTGGCTCCGCTGCCCAGGCTGCCATCCTCTTGGGGGCTTGGCCAGCCCCATGGACGGGTGCGAGGCTGAGGCTGCGGCTCTCTCCTCTGCCCCAGCAGCTCAGCCCCTGCTGGAGATGATACTGGCTGTCACTCTGATGTTGCCCTTCACAGACACAGAACTGGCAAGGGAGGGGCAGGGCCTGGCACCAGCCCCCTGGGTCCTAGCAGCTGCCAGCTGGAGGCCGGAGGCTGGAGGCTGCGCTGTGAAAGCGCTTGGGGTTCCTACGGAGGGGCCCAGGGCAGGCCCAGGCTGGGGTGTAGCGCTAGGACGCGGAGTGTGGAAGGCAGGAGAAGCCAGGACATTTTCCCCCCTCACGCTCAGCTTGGGGCTCCCCGTCTGTCTCTGGAGGAGAGCTTCTCTCTCTTTCCGGCAGCCAGGCCCGCTCTGGTCCTGGCGCCTGCGCGTGCCCCTGGCCCCTGGCCCCCGGATGTGGGGGTCCTGTTTCCTTCCAGCATCGCTGCAGCCTGAGAGTGGGAGCAGCTTCCTGCCATTGCCGATCTTGGGGTCCTGCACCAGGCCCCTGTGTAGTGTGGTGCCTTTCCTGCATCCAAGTCCTCTTGCCTGGAATCCCTGGAGTGGTTTCGGCTGGGCAGCAGGGGTCTGGGGGGACGCACGCCCCGCAGCATATCCTCTACACAGCAACAGCGCAAAGTGCGTCCCTCGGAAAACAAATCAGATGGGGCCATGGCCCTGCTCTCGTTCCTTGGGAAAGAGGTTCCTGTCCTCAGAACGGGTCTTCCCAGCTTTCTGACCGCACCCTCCTCCTTGCCTACCTGACTTGCAGCCACGGCAACCACCCTGCCGGCCCTCTGGCAGGTCAGATGGGTTCCCACCGCAGGATCCTTGCACTTGCTCTTTTCTCCGTCAGAACGCCCTGCCCGCAGAGCTGTGCGCGGCTCACCCCCTCAGCCCGTTCAGGTCTCTGCTGGGGGCAGGGCTCCGTCGACCTGCGATCTCTTCTGGCGTCGGTCCACCTCCTCATCACTAATCCTTTCATCCTGCTTGGTTTCTCGTCCTGGCACTTCCCTTACTTGCTGCTGTTCTTCATATCTGCACACGCACTTGTTTAGAGCCTGTTTTACGGGAGAGCCAGCCCCATGAGAGCAGGGACGCTGTCTGTGTTTTGCTCGCCATGTGCCCCGGGCCCCATGCCAGGCACACGGCACATGGCCGGTGTCAGCACAGGTCTCGGTGGTAGAGACCAGGCCTTGGGCATGCAGGGTTGACTCTCTTTCTGCTGGGAATTAAAGGGCCCCGCCCAGTTCTCCATGATTCAGATGAGAAGGCTGGTGCCCAGACAGGGAGGGAATGTGTGCAAGATCGGGTCACTGAGTTGTCCCTGGAACCCAGGCCACCTGCTTCCTAGGCTCTGTCTACAGCTTGAACGTGGGCATTCACCTCTTGGAAGAGAAGCTGGCTTTTGAGATTTTTGTTCAGAGGGAAGAGAGGGTGTTGGCCTTGTCCCTGCCCAGTTAGGCCTGTAGGTCGGGGCAGCCCCCGAGCCACGAGGGCCTGGTGAGGGCTCAGCAAGGCCAGGCGGGGGTAGCGAAGAGGACAGTGGACAGGGACTATGGTGGGTCGGAGAGTACGTGCTCCTCCAAGTCATTGAACTAAATAAAAAAACTTTGTAGTTTATCTGGGTTTTTTTTGTTTTGTTTTATTTTAATTTGCCAAAAGAACTGAATTAAAGCCCTGGCCGGTGTGGCTCGGTGGATTGAGTGCCTGTCTGTCAATGGAAAGGTGGCAGGTTCGATTCCCAGCCCGGGCATGTGCCTGGGTCACAGTCCAGGTGCCCAGGTGGGGGCGTGCAAGAAGCGTCCGATTGATGTTTCTCTCCCTCTCTTTCTCCCTTCCTTCTTCTCTCTAAAAATAAAATAAAAATAAAATATTTTTTTTAAAAGGAAGAAACGAATGAGGATAAAGCAGAAACGGATGGCCCTGGCTCCCACGGCCGCTCGGTGCGGTGGAGGGAAAGCGCGAGCAGATGAACACCCTTCTGAGCACGTGTTTTATTTTTTAAGTATATTTTATTAATTGTGCTATTCCAGTTGTTCCATTTTTTTCTCCCCTTTATTCTCCTCTGCTCTCCCCCCGCACCAATCCCCCACCCACACTTCAGGTCCAGGGTCATACGTATAAGTTCTTTTGCTTCTCCATTTCCTATACTGTTCTCAACCTCCCCCTGTTTATTTTGTACTTACCAATTGTGCTTGTTTTTCCCTGTACCTTTCCCCCGTTCTCTCCTCTCCCCCTCCCCGCTGACAACCCTCCCTGTGATCCTCACTTTTGTGATTCTGTTTCTGTTCTAATCGTTTGCTTAACTAGTTTTTGTTTGCTTTTTAGGTTCAGTTGTTGACAGTTGTGTGTTTGTCATTTTACTGTTCATAGTTTTGATCTTCTTTTTCTTAGATAAGTCCCTTTAACATTTCATATAATAAGGGCTTAGTGATGATGAACTCCTTTAAGTTTACTTTATCTGGGAAGCACTTTATCTGCTCTTCCATTCTTTTCTTTTCTTTTCTTTTCTTTTTTTAGATTTTTAATTTATTTTTACAGAGGGGAAGGGAGGGAGAGAAACATCAATGTGTGGTTGCATCTCACACACCCCTCACTGGGGACCTGGCCCGCAACCCAGGAACGTGCCCTACACTGGGAATCAAACTGGTGACCCTTTGGTTCACAGGCCAGCGCTCAGTCCACTGAGCCACACCAGCCAGGATGCCCTTCCATTTTAAATGATAGCTTTGCTGGATAGAATGATCTTGTATTTAGGTCCTTGCCTTTCATGACTTTGAATACTTCTTTCCAGCTCCTTGCCTGTAAGGTTTCTTTTGAGGAATTAACTAGTAGTCTTATGGGAACTCCTTTCTAGGTAACTGTCTCCTTTTCTCTTGCGGCTTTTAAGATTCTCTCATCTTTAATCTTGGGTAATTTAATTATGATGTGCCTTGGTGTGTGCTCCCTTGGGTCCAGCCTCTTTGGGACTCTCTGAGCTTCCTGGATCGCATGGAAGTCTATTTCCTTGGCCAGATCAGGGAAGTTCACCTTCATTATTTTTTCCAAATAAGTTTTCAATTTCTTGCTCTTCCTCTTCTTCTGGCACCTCTGTGATTCAGATGTTGGAATGTCTAAAGTTGTCCTGGAGGTTCCTAAGCCTCTCCTCATTTTTTTTGAATTCTTGTTTCTTCATTCTGTTCTGGTTGAATGTTTATTTCTTCCTTCCACTCCAGATCATTGGTGTGAGTCATGGTTTCCTTCCCTTCACTGTTGGTTTCCTGTGTATTTAATTTATTTCACTTTGCACAGCCTTCCCTTTTTCCTCTATTTTGCAACCATATTCAATCAACTCTGAGCATCCTCATTACTAGCGTGATCTCTGCATCTGATAGGTTGGCTATCTCTTCATCTCTCAGTTCTTTCTTTGGAGTTTTAACCTGCTCTTTCATTCGGGCCATATTTTTTGTCTCGGCGCTCCTGTTACGTTGTAAAAGGCGGAGCCTCAGGTATTCGCCAGGGCGGGGCAACCGAGGTCTCTGCGTGGCGATGCTGTGTGTGGGGGAGGGTCTGAGAGGAAACAATGCTGCTTGCTTGGCTCTCTCCCTGATTTCAGTCACTTCCCCCGCTACCCACAAGCAAATTGGGCCCTTTTGATGCTGATTCCTGAGTGGGTGGTCTTGTGTACAATTTAGGACCCTGTGGCTCTCACCAACCGACTCTCGTGTGAGGCTGGGAGTTTCTCCTGCTGCCACCGCGGCAACCCCCACAGGTTTTTACAGACAGAGGTTTTGAGGCTTTCTTCTCCTGCCCTGGACACCTGTGTTGCCCAGTCTGTCTCGCTCCTCAGCTATTCCTCCACTGTATATGCATGTGAATGTGGGACCTCCCAGCCTGCCGGCCACCAGCTTGCTGCGCGTCCTCTCTGCTACGGCTGCCGTCCCCGCCCCTCCTACTGGCCTGGGTGCATGTTTCTTCTTTAGCTCCTTGGTTGTCGGACTCCACACAGTTTGATTTTCTGGCAGTTTCGTTTCTGTTTTTGTTTTTGTTTTAATTTGTTGTTGTCCTTCTTTTGGTTGTGCAGGGAGGCAAAGTGTATATTCTTATGCCGCCATCTTGGCCAGAAGTCTGAGCACATCTTTTTGTATAGATTGGACTTTCTGGAACTATGCTAGTGTTCTATGTATTGAAAAAAATAAATTAATGAAGATGAGGAAATCCCCCTAAAGGTGAATATAAGCAGGACAAAAGAACCCAATGGTATTTTAAATGAATAACTACCACACTGAAGGGAAATACATGACTAATCCAAGTAACCCTTGAACTGTTTTACAGTCATTGACCTCAGTCTAAAGACAAAAAGATAATCTTGCAGAAATTTCAAAGGAACTTGAGTCCTGCTTAGAATGTTTATTTATCACAATGGCATGGGTCTAGCAATTCAGAATCTCCTTTTCATGTGGAATTTGGCAACCAAGTAAATATGTTGATGTTGATGGAAACCACATGCTTACTGTTAGGGCAGGAAAGTGCAGATATGGAACGTGGGGAAGGGGAGAGGCCCGCGGTGTAAGGTGGGAACTAGAGAAACAGGTACAGTGAGGTATGTTTGTTTACAGACATGTACACCCTTCCTACCTGGCCTTAAAGCAATGACGCCCAGTGCCAAAGAGCATGCATTCTGCCCAGATCTTGAATTCTAAATATCATTTCCTGCTCTAGGGAACTAGGGCTCCTCGGTCCAGGACTGTGCAAGAGAGCCTGAAAATTCTTATGAGGCCAGGAAGTAAGGAAGGGCCAGAAGTAGTGGGGACACAGGAGTCAGCTTGAAGGGCCTTGTGCAGGCCAAGTCTGGGGCAATCTGAGGCTCAGAAGAAATAAGGACACATCGCTGATTACAAGTGGGAGAAATGGTAACCTTCCCGGGGAGAGACCTGGGGCAGCAGCCCGATGAACGATCAAAGCTAGTTCATGTCACCAAGGGGACGTGTCCCTCCTGACAGAATGCCCCCAGGAGACGTCATGCATGACCTGTTCCCACCCAAGGGGCAGCACCTTCATCTAATCATGACAGGACATCAGAGAAACCAAGGTTGGGAGAGATCCTGTGAAACAACTGGCCTGTACTCTTCAGGAGCGTCAAGAACATCCAAGTCACAGAAGGGAAAAAAAGGCTGAGAAGGGTTTCAGATTAGAGACTAGAGAGACGTGACGACGAGATGCCGTGGGTGACCCCGGGCTGGGTCCTGTCCTGCTCTAGCACCCACCTCCTAGTGTCTGGATAGGGCCCCCTGGGGCGCTGGCAGGCACCTTCCCTGATGGCGGAGCTGGGCCCCTTGGCGTGTGCAGATGGGACCCGCCAATGCCACGGCGCAGGCGGCGCTTGGCTTGTCCAGCCGCGTCTGGGCTCACGGGCAGTATCACCGGTGGGTCCCCCACTGACCAACAGCCCTGAGCCGCTGGCGAGGGCTGCCTTTGAGGGCTCAGTGATCAGAGGAGGCGGGTTGATGCAGCGTGGACAGAGATGGACCAGGGTAGGAAGGGCCAGTGTGGGGCTGGAGCTGCCGAGTGCCTGGCGGTCAGTGTGGAGAGAAGCAGGGCCCCGGCCTGGGTGGCGCAGCACGGAGAGGCGGAGTCTGGGGGTGAGCGAAGACAGTGTTTAATAAGGCTGCGTTGCACGCTGAGGTTCAGCCTCCAGCGGTGATCACCGCCCTCGGATGCGCAGCCTGGGCCGGGGCGGACGGCCTGGGTGGGCACGGGGTCCGACCTGCTCTCAGCCTGTGCCCCGCACACCGCATGGCCTTGAGCAGATGCATCCGTGTCCCAGCGACACGGCCCGCCCACCACACCCATCCGTCTCGGGGGCAGGACTACGGGGCCACCGCCCTGCCCGGGTTGGGCAGGGAGCAGCGGTCACCGCCTGGGGCACAGCAGGAAGGTCCGGGAGCAAGGAGGGGTGACTTGGGGGTGACAGATGGGCTGGCAGGTGGAGGCACACGGACTCTCCTAGCGGGGCCCGGGGGCGCGGCAGCGCGGGCCTGCAGCTCAGAGGCGCACCTCCAGCAGGTAGCGCAGGCGGCACTGGTTCTCCTGGTAGATGAGGTACTCGCTCTGGGAGAACGAGGAGCCGCTGAACTGCGGGCAGGGCACAGGCTGGCCCTGGGGCACCGCCACTCGCTGGCCATCCAGCTCCAGCTGGGTGTCCTGGGCCGGATCTGCAGGGGACAGCCGGGCCAACGGTGACGGGGGCGTCGCTCGCCATCCTGGACCTCACCGGGAGGCTCTGCCCCCGAAGCTGTCTGCTCCTGGCACGGGGCCTGGCTGCGCGTTCCCATCTCACCAACGCCAGGCTCCAAACCGCTGCGCAGGCTGGGCCTCCGCCTGGACTACCCGCCCCACAGTTCTGCCTGGGAAACACCCACTCATCTTTCACTGCTCAGTGACGCCTCCTCTTTGAAGCCCACCTGGATGCCCAGGAACGATGTGTTAAGTGGCAAAGTGAATGAAATGGCTGCCATGAGGACACCTGTTTCTTTCTGTCCCTCTGCACAGCCCCTTCTCTGTCCGCTCCTCCCTGAAGGCGTCCTGGTCCCTTGCCCGGTCCTTGCCACTAGACCTGTCTACCTGCTCAGGATTGGGACTCACCAGGCTCCGTGTGCCCTCGGGCAATGACGCTGTCAAAGCCAGGGGGTGGCTTCTTCAAGCTGGGCTCGTCCATAGTGATGTGGTGCTCTCTGCCAAGGGCCACCTCACCCAAGAACATGTAGCCGATGCGGTGGGCCCCGGTGGACATGCCAGTAACTGGGGGCCACAGGCCGGCTCAGGCGGGGCTGCTCGGCCCTCCTGCCCGACGCCCTGGGTCCCTCTTTGCCGTATCGTCACCCCCTCCCCCTTGGCTGCCTCCGCACAGAAAGGGGCCTTCTGCTCCCCCAGCCTTAAAAAACTCCCCTTGTCCTGGCCACGCCGCCTTCCGGCTGCCCTCGCCGCCCCTCGGCCCCCGGGGCCACACCACTGCACCCCTGCTGCCCTCGCCAGGTCCGCCAGGGCCCGCCAGCCACGGAATCCAGGGCCGGGCGCCCCTCTCCCTGGACCGCTCTGCTGACTTCGCCACTAGCATGCGCGGCCCCCGAGCCTGCACGCCCCTCGCCCTGGATCTCTGGGTCCACCCTCCACCCCTTCTCAGGCTCCTCTGCCTTCCTGCCTGACCCCTTGGCCTTGGGCAGCCTCCGACACCCTGGACCTTCAGCCCCATCTGCCCGTGGACCTTGGGTGAGTGGGTGGCGGTGGTCTCCAGTGAAGGCGTCAGCCTGGGTGCCTCCGGGGCGCCTCACCGTAGCCAGCTGACTTGCTGTTCTCCGAGGCAAAGTAGATGCCCTTGCCCACACGGCCACCAGAATGCGGCATGATGCGGAGCCCACTGGTGAGGATGGCAGCCACCACCGCCACGTTGGTGCCATGCCACAGCAGCCTCCGGTTACCCAGCTTGCAGTGCGCCTGGAACCGATCTCCCTGGGTTGGGGGTGAAACGAAACGCGGGGGCCACATCATCCCCGCGCGAGACTTCTCCCTGTGGCTCCGAGGGTCCGCCCAGGGCCTGGGCCTCCGGTCACTCACACCCTCACACCCTCACACCCCGCCGCCAGCCCTGCTGGCAACGGGTCAGAGTTGCTGAGATGGTCCCGCAAGGGACACAGAAGCCAGACCATCTCCCCGGGAGCCAGGGCAGTGAGAGGGGAGGGCACTGGGGCACGTCCCTCACCTCCCCTTCTCGGTTCACTTTCCAAACGTGCTGAAGAGCGGGGCACCTGTAGCTGCTGCCGGTCTGTTTTAAGTAGGTATGGATCACCTGCGGGGAGAGCAGCCACTGGGTGCCGAGGGCAGGAGACAAGGGGACGGACCCCACCTCCGTCCCAGAGCGCTCCTCCAGCCCTGGGGATGCAGGGAGGGGGGCCAAGGGCGAGGGACTCCACGGGCGCCTGGAGCGCAGGTGGGCAGACGGACGGCACCCGGCTCTTCTGTGGGGCCCAGCCCACCTTGTACTCAGGCGCCTCTGGGTCCAGCAGCTGGAGCTGGCACTTGAGGAGCTGGTAATCTCGGTCCAGCGGGTGCGGCACCTCCTCCACCTTCTCCTCCTCCTTGGGGGCCGCCTGGAGGCTCCGGGCCAGCTCGATGTCAGCCAGCACCTAAGGCGACAGACACTGGCAGCTTGTCTGTCCACTTGACCTCCTGCCTCTACTCTCCCTCCCACTTGAGTGGGACCGTGGCCACCCCGCTTGTCCGTCCACCTGTTCACCGCCCCCCCCCCCCATCCAGCAGCCCTCGGGCCGCCCGGCACCATCCAGATCCCTGGGTCTTCTTGGCCATGGGCCCCCACGCGCCTTGCCCAGTGTGCTCGGTGCCTCCGCTGCCGGCCCACCGGCCAGCCCTCACCAGCAGCATGTCCTTCTTGGCCTGCAGAAGCTCCAGGGAGTTGATGGGCGGGGGCCGGCTGCGGCCGAAGTTGTGGGGGATGACGGTGTAGAAGTGGGAGGACAGCTCCTCCAGGTCGCGGCCGGCAGCCGTGGGCGCTCTCAGGGCCGCCTCCAGGGCCTCCAAGGCCTCGAAGCCCCGTGCGATCTGCTGCTTGCTCAGCTTTCCCAGGGGCATCTTTTTCACATCTGGGGTGGGGGGGGTGGGGAGTCTCAGCCCCGTGTCACTCTCAGGGCCTTGCCACCCTCCCTGGCCCCTCTGTCCTCACCCAGGTTCATGTGGGCCATGGCGTCACTGAACATGTCTTTGCTGAAGATGTTGGTGATGAGCTTCTGTGTGGCTGCGTCCAGGGAGCAGGGCCGCACCCGTTGAGCCACAGTCCTCACCGGGCCTCCGTCAACCTAGGGGCAGAGGGCGCACATAGGGGGCCAGAGCAGGGCCCGACCAAGGCCCGAGAGCCGAGGTCTGTGCCAGAGGTCGCACATCCGGGCAGCATCCCGGGGCCCCTCCAAGAGCCCAGGACCCAGCCACTTCACCTTCACCACAGCTTCCTGGGCCTCGTCCTCTCCCTGCACTTCGATCAGCGTGTACTTGCCGGGGTGAGCCACGAAGCGCTCCCGCTCTGCCCAGCTGTTCTTGGTCTTGTCCCGAAATTTCTTCTCAAAGTCCTTCTTTGCATCCTCCAGTGACTCGAAGTGGCTGAGCTTTGACTGGCCCACCTCTCCCTGCAATGGACCACAGTACCCACCATAATACCTGAGGGCCTCCTGTGCCCCATGCCCTTTTGGCCTGAGTGCTGTGTGAACCCTGGGCAGCAGGTGACCGTGCCGAGCAGGGAGAAGTGGGGTGAGGTGGGAGCAGGGTGGGCCCTCACCACGCGGCCCCAGCGGTTCCAGCAGGCAAAGCGGTCCCCGTCCTCCAGCAGCTGGATGATGTAGAACTTGTTGTTGTTGTTCCCGATGTTGGTCTGGTTCAGGGTGCAGTCGTAGTCGCCGAGCACCTGGGCCGGAGGGCGCATGGATAGGGCAGGCCAGTGTGGGCTGCCCTTGGCAGGGCCGGAGACCCGGCCGCACGCTGACGGGGCGCTGGCTGCACTGCCCACCTGGGGAGGCCCTCGGGGACGAAGTCTGAGTTGATGTGGCTAAACTCGGGCTGTGGGGGGAGTTGTTGGGAGGACATGGCTGTGTCCTGGGTCGGGGAATTGAGGGACACATGGTTCTGCCCTAGGGGACTCGCAGGGACACACCCCTGTCCTCTGAGGGATCTCAGGGGGACACAGCCACATAGCCCTACCCTGTGGGGTTGTTTTGAGGGGATGTAGGGGAGCCCGGGGGAGACCTAGCGGGTCAGAGCCTGGCTCAAAGTGAGGTAGGAGGAGGCCTGAGAGGCTCAGGGGCCTGCCCTGCGGTCTGGAGAATGGACAGAACCTGCCCAGGTGGGGTGGGCGCCGCGCTGCTTGCCCTTTGGGGTCTTGGGAGACCATGGCTTACTTGGGAACCTCGAGCTGTGCGGCCAGAGCCAAGCCCCAGTGGGGAGGGGAGCAGGTCTGAGTGCATTTGCATCCAGGAGGCCCCGGCTGGGGAGCGCAGCTCACCTGGGTCCCGGGGCTGTGGCTGAGGGGACATTCGGCGTCCACCCGGGCTACGCGCTTCTCTGTGGGTGCAGCCCTGAGGGCTTCAGCCGTGGAGTGGAAGCTGTCCTCCTCTGTCTCCTGCCGTCCCTTCTTTTTCTCAGGGCCCACACCCCGCACAGCAGGCTTGCGCTTGGGAGCCATGGCTGTTTTGGGGCACCAAGAGGGGCCTCAGGCTTCCATGGCCGCTGTACCCCAGGTGGCTGGCACAGCACCAACGTGCCACTCTCTGGGTTTGCCTTTGGTGAGCGCCCACTGCCTCCCCCTCCCTCCAGTCCCCAGTGCCAGCCCTGGACCAAAACCAGTTCTGTCACTCCAGACATGCCCCTGTGCCTGCTCGCGGGGGCCAGTCCAGCCTGCCCACTTTGGTCAAGGAGGCACGGTCCCCTCCCCTCTCTGCTCCTCCAGGTTGTCCAGGAGGCACAGAAAGTGAAAGGAGAGGCTTCCCTCCCGCTTATGGGCTCCTCCTCCCTCCAGAGCATTCTCTGGGCCCTGCCTGCTCCTCCCACTTCTCAGCTACCCCGGACTTGGCATAGACGCTGGGCTGAGTCACCCCAGCTCTGGAGCCGAGTGGTCAGTGGCTGCCGGGGCAGCACCCCAAGGCCAGATCTGTTGCTCCAGAGCTCGGGACCCAGGGACACAGAAACCCTTCCCAACGAGCTCCACAGTTCTGGGGTGTCAGCCAGGGTCCCCAGAGCAGCTGCCTTGAATTGCCTGTGGGCAAGGGAAGTCCCTCCCAGCCCTGCCCTTTGAAGGGCTGTGGTCAGGGCCATGGTCACTCACCTAAGAGAAGCGGGGACCTGGGAGAGATGGCTCGCGGTTCCCAGTACCGGGATCTCCCAAGGTAGTCCCTGTTCTGGGGGCCCCTGTAGCACCCAGCTGTAAGTCTTAGGCGTGACTTAGGGAGGGACTTCAATCGCCAGAGGCAGAGGAAACCTGAAGTTGTGATAGCGTAGGATTTCAGCTATTTGGCCAAGAGTAGGGTGAGTCAGAGGCTGGGTCAGGCCAATGCATTCGGCCTATCCACACATGGGTGGACACATGATCGGGACAGTGCTAAGGTCCAGAGAACTAACACGCCATTAGGGCTGCTCCTTTGGCTTGAGGCACGCAACGCGTGTCGGTCGGTTGCTCAGTGACCTTGGCCCTATGTGAGGGCAGGGCGTTCTTTCCTCCGGGGCTGCCTGGATGCCCCCGCCGGTTATTTAGTGCCAGACTTGGTACACCCTGGTCCCCGCCCCTGACGGGGTGGAGACCTGTTCTGGGACTTAGAACCCCGCATCTCTGGCGCCCCGCAGCGACCAAGGGGCGAAAACACAGAGACGGCCTCCGGCTTGCCGTGCCTTAGGCTTCCGCCAAGTAGCGGTGCGCAAGCGCGGCAGCTTAGGCAGGAAGAGCGAGGAACAGCCTGTGTCCTAAGGAGCCCCACGCGAGAGCCTATCGGAGGTTTAGGAGGCGTGGCCACAGGCATTCATCCTATGGTTGCTTGGGGGCGTGGCAGAGTCCACCAAAGGACCCAATGAGGCTGTGGGAGGCGGGGCTCTTCTGGCGCTTGGGGGCCTATCGGGACGCGGAGTCTTGCCAGACCGCCTGGGTTCCGCCGCCACGTGAGTGTCCCAGCGGCGGCTGCATCACACCCGGTGGTCAGCATGCCGGCGACAGCAGTGGCTCGGAAGCGGGGAAAGCCGGCCTCGGGGGTCCGGGCCGGTGCTGGGAACGGCAAGCGGCGGCGAAAGGTGAGCGTGGCGCTTCTGCGGGCCGCGATCGGACCTGTTCTCCGGACTACCGCCATCCCACCTTCACCCCCTCCCTTCCCCTCCGCGGTCCTCTCCCCGACCCTTCTCTCGGGACTCCAGCTGGACTAAGCTTCGCTCCTCTGTCGCCGGCCAAATCCTGGAGCCACCGCATTTCCCAGCCCCAGGGCTCTCGAGAGACCGGAAGGGGCCCTTGGTCAGTGTCGGAGTGGTCGGGACCCCTGAGCTAAGAAAGGATCATTCTCGTATAATTCCCAGGCCGACTGTGCCGGGGACAAGGCCAAGGCCAAGGCCAAGGCCAAGGGTGGCGACAAGATGAATGAGGAGATCTCCAGCGACTCTGAGAGTGAGAGGTGAGCTCTGCTTTTCTGCTCTGTGGAAGGGAACGCTGAGGCCCATGGTGTATGGAAGTCTCAGTGAGTGAGAACTCCGGCCCTTGGCCCGCAGGTCTTGGCTCTTTCTTCCAGTTTCTGATCCTGAGTAGTCTCATCTTCCCCGCAGGGCCTCTGTCCCAGAGGGAGACCAGTGAGACCTCTCTGGCACATGGCAGAGTGTCAGGGAGCTGAGCCCAGGCTGGGCTGACTGGGAAGGGGAGAGGGATACAGGAGATCCTGGCTAGTTCTTCACTCCCTTTTCCCACAATTTCTCAGTTCTGGGTCTTTCTCCTGACTCTCAACAGAGGCCAGGCCCTGGCTTCGCTTTGACAGCGCAGAGGTGAGCAGGCAGGTGAAGACTGAGTGTGTTGTAATGGGATGTGTGCCTTAGAGCCGTGCGTTCTAGGAAGAGAGGAGGGGACACTTAAGTAGGTCCTGGAAAGGTGGAGGAGGCCCTTGTGGAGAGGTAGGGAAGGCGTTGAGGGACCAGAGGAAGGGGTGGGGTGTAAGTGTGCCGGACCCGGAGGCGGAGAGGATGGCAGGCCCGGTGGTAGGAGCGTCCGGCTTGCGGAGGGCTTTGAACGCCTCCCTCATTCTGCAGGTGGCAGCGTGGGGGCAAGTGGCAGGATTTCAGAGGGGGCTCGCAAAGCATCCAGCCTGGCCCTGTGGCACGGAAGTCATCATACCAGGGAATCCTGGTGCCTGCCTCAAGCGCTGGCTTTGGCAATTCTGCGTCTCCAACTGAGTGCGTGTTGGCCTTAACCTGCTTCCAGAGAGACTTAAGATGCTTTGCTTAGTCCTGAGGTTCCTGTGGGTGGGTGGATGCCAAGCTCTCTGTTGAACACTTTTTTTTTTTAAAGATTTTATTTATTTATTTATTTTTAGAGGAAGAGGGGAAGGGAAGGAGAGAGGGAGAGAAATATCAATGTGTGATTGCCTCTTGTGCGCTGCCATGCCCCCCTCCCCCCACCCCGAACCTGGCCTGCAACCCAGGCATGAACCCTGGATGGAATTCGAACCAGTGACCCTTTGGTTTGTAGGCTAGCTCTCAGGCCACTGATCCACACCTGCCAGGGCCTGCTGAGCACTTTTAAAGGTTTTCAAAATGTATTGTGAAGTGCATTAAATACAGAAGAGTCGATGAAATGCATTTCTTCTGGAGAGCGTGGTGAGGAAATGGTGAGCCTCTGGCACCCCCTACTTAGGTTAAGAACTAGATCATTGCAGCAGCTTACAAGCCGAGTTGCCATTCCTGACTTGTGTTAGTCATTTCTTTGGTTTCCCACTTTGCTCCCTTTCTCTTCACCTCTTTTTCATTTTCCCCTTCAGTTCTCATCTTCACACAGTGACATCCACCTTTCTTAGTGTGGCGTTCTGTGGGTGTTGCCGGACGCATACCACTGTGAAGACAGAGAAGAGTTTCATCACCCTCCAAAATTCCCCCTGCTCTTTGTAGTCAGTTCTCCCCCAGCCCCCACTCAGAACCAGTGTCCCTAGAGTTTTGCCTTTTCCAGAACATGGTGTGGGTGGAATCACACAGTGTGTACTTGCCTTGGCTTTCTTCAGAGTTCTGTCTGCTCTGTGTGAGCCCCGAAGCTAGGGATTGGTTGGTTTGGGTGATGGAGCAGAAATGCCGGGCTGGGTCATGTGAGGAAGGGTGAGGTGCTGAGCGGTCTCCGGAGCATGGTCAGGTCTTGAGAGTTCCCAGAATCTTTTCTGGGAAAGTCACGGGCAAGGTCACGCACGAGTCCTGGGAACCAGTCGGGCACCTGATGGGAACAAGGTGTCTGCAAGTGTGTGATCGGGACGTGCGCTGCTGGGTTTTCTGCTTCTGGGCGCCTGCAGCCTTCCTTCAGCTCCCAGGAGCAAGTCAGAGGAGGACTTGCCTTGAGTAAAGTAAGTGCCCCAGCTGGTGCGGGGACCCGGACACAGAGGGGAAAGCGGACACTGCACCAGCACCAGGCCAAGCCAGGCCTGGCGAGGCCTCCCTGGGGCCGCAGCCTCAGGGGGAGGGCGGAGGGCAGAGGCAGAGCATCCTGTGTCAGGGCAGAGGACGGTGCCGTGGCATTGGGGTGACGAGACGCCGGGTGCCCGCCTCTCAGGTTCTGACCTGGGATCGGGGCTGGCCGCTCCCCCAGTCAGGGTGGCGGTGGCTCTGGGGGCTGCCTTTCCTGCTCTCCACGTTGGGTCTCCTGTCCCCCAGGCTGACCTCATTCTGCGTTGACCCTCCTGTTCGCGAGCTCGTTCTCTATCTGTAAAGGAAGGAAAAAGGACCCCCTCTATGGCTCTTGGGACAGCTGACAAGATCTGCAGTTGCCACTCGCGGCGTGACTGGCATGGAATGCCGCGGTCAGCGCGTTCTTTAGAGTTCTGTGTGTGCAGCTCCTGTGTCTTCCCGCCGTCGGGGTTGGTGTGAGATGTCTGAAGCCCTTTGGATTCCTGACTCTTTATACATGACCTGATTTTTCTCAGGGGCCTGCAGAACCTTCGCTTTCCCTCCGGAGCTGAGGGATTTCACAGTGGCCTCTTTGGGTTTGGGTCTGTTTTCAGGCTTCTGTCAGGCCTGGGCGGGCCCTTAGTCAGTCGCCTCTGCAGTGTCCTGCACTGGCCAGGAGGGCTGGCAGGGGGTCTGCCGGGGGCACGGTCCTCGAGGCGGGAGGAGTGGGATGGGCATCCCCCAACCCAGTCCCCCTCGGCCCACAGCCTCGCTCCCAGGAGGGCAGAGGAAGAGGAGGAGGAGGAGCTGGAGGAGACAGCACAGGAGAAGAAGCTGCGCTTGGCCAAGCTCTACCTTGAGCAGCTCAGGCAGCAAGGTGAGCCTGTGGGCGGGGCAGGCGAGGGGTGGGGCCTGCGCCTAAGCCTGCCTGCTGCAGGCACCCAGCGTGCTGCTGGGGCTGGTGGTGGTGGTGGCTGCCTTGTGGGAGAGTGGCCGGAGCTCTAATGGGCTTCTAGGGGGGCGGCCAGACTTCAGGGGCTTCAGACAGATCTGGTACGTAAAGGCAGGCAGAGGAGGCGCTGGGCCCTCCATCCCCTTGCCCGAGGCAGCCTGAACTTCCAAGTGTTTGGGGCCCGGGACTGGGGCGGTGGGGTGGGGATGGCAAGGGAAAAGCAGGGTCTTGGCCTGGGTTCACTTGGCCTGGTCTGTCCCCCACAGAGGAGGAGAAGGCCGAAGCCCGCGCGTTTGAGGAGGACCAGGTGGCAGGGCGCCTGAAGGAGGACGTGGTGCGTGAGGTGGGAGGGTGGTGGGAGGAAGGGGGGGCGGCCGGTGCATGGGACCTCACGCCCGTCCTCTTTCTGCAGCTGGAGCAGAGGGGCAGGCTGCAGAAGTCGGTGGCGAAGGAGGTGAGCAGGCAGCGCCCTTTGGCCTAAGACCGGAGGGGATTGGGGTCCCTCCTGGGTTGGTGGCAAATGGCTCAGCTGGGGGCTCAGGCTGTGGGGTTTTTGCTTGAAAACACGGTGGGCACTTAGACAGGCAGGGTCAGGTCAGGGCTTGATCGCCGTGCAGCCCGTGGTCAGCTTCCTCCTGGGCAGGGAGCTGCAAAGGGTGTGCGTGCAAGGTAGGGGTGCCTCCCTGCCCTCCCCGCTGCAGTGACCCAGCCCTGTCTCCCAGATCCAGGCCCCTGCCCCAGGCGACATCCGAATCTTGCGCGGACACCAGCTCTCTATTACGTGTTTGGTCATCACCCCCGACGACTTGGCCATCTTTTCTGCTGCCAAAGACTGCACCATTATTAAGTGTGAGTGAGGGCCTGCGTGGGTGCAGGCCCGGGGGCTATCCGGGAGGGCCGGCCTGCGAGGAAGGAGGCATCGGCACAGCAAGGCCCGATGTGGGGGCTTCTAGAGGGAGGCTTGCTCCCACAGTCCTGTTTCTGGGTGGCAGTGGAGCGTCTGCCTACGAGTGGGGCTTGTGAGCTTCCTGTCACTGTTATTGGAGATGGTCAAGCCGAGGCAGGATGATGACGGGACTCTGTGCTGCTCTTGGGGCGCCGGACGAGGACCCCCGAGGCTCTGTTCGCCCTGAGAT